ACAACCCTGTAAAAGTGAACTCATATGTCATCGCACCTCGTGAAGTTTTGAAAGAACTATTGAAACTTTTGACAGAGGCAGACGATATAAACATCAAAGAAATAGAACCCGACATTGCTTGCTGTGGTGTTTCATATAATGTCATTGACAAGATATACGTTATGAAAGGAGGTGAAACGTTGAACTTAAAATATAGTTTCCCAGACGTCATAAAAATATTTGACGACCACAACATTTCATTAAAATTTACTTGCTAAGTAAAAATGTCAAAACTTCTTGAAAGATGTTTGAAGAAAAATAATATAGACTTTATTTCATGTAAAGGACTTTACACACTTTTGAACGATATGAAAGACCCTGTAGTTAGTATGGTTATGTTGGGTATGGTGGCACTGCGCGCCTCCGTACACCACTTAGCGGTTTTGACACTTTACGAAACCGTTAACGTATATTTTACAACACAAACGACAACACTAACTTAACCTTAAATATTTACAAAACCATCTGACACATAAATGACTTCACTAACGAACTCACTAATGTAAAAAATAAACGTTCTCACTATCGTTCTCACTAACGACTTCACTAATGTTCTCATAAATTTCCTCAATATCTTCATCATCAGTGTTAACCCTATTGTAGTCATACTTGAAGCCATAAACTTTCTCTAACTTCTTAACGTACAATTTACATAACTTACCTTCGTCATCGTATGGTTTAATGATATAACTATTTCTATCTTTATACACAGTCAATGAAAAGTCAACTGGTCTCGGATGTATTTGAAAGAACATGTTATGCTCAGGAAGGAAGAATAAATGTTTAAATGTATGTTTGTTATATTTTTCGATTTGTATGAGTTGCTTTTGTTCTGTCATTTACATCCAAATAAAAATTTTCAGTAAAATAAAAAATTAATGATATCACCACTCCCACACGTATGAAAACATAGCGCAAAAATAAATTTAGGTGAAGCGGTGAGATGTCACCTCTTTTTTCACCTCTTTTTTCACCCTGTTGAATTCATTGCTTTATAACTCTTCAAGCTTCTTCTTAAGTTCAGCAATGTTGTCCTCATGAAGTTTAATCTTTCTCAAAATTCCTTCTTTATCTAATGGTTGCTTTATCTTTCTAAACTGAACTCTACCGTCCTTCATAGTATGAACGTAAAAACCTTCTGGAACCGCTCCTGATTTAATGTATTCTACCAAAAACTTTTGTTTCATTGCTTCAGTGACTTTAGTCGTCATTTCAATCAAATAAAAATTTTAATATTAAATAAAAATAACGTTATTTTTTCAGTAAGGAAACGCAGGAGTTTTACGATTTATTTGAGGAGTAGGTTCTGGTTTAAATGTTGGAGTCGGTTTAGGAGTTGACTTTTGAAGAGGGTTTGTACTTCCATAGGTTCAGGAGTTATTGAAGGTTTTGCTTGTGAAGGCGTTGGTTTGGCGAATGTGTTGGAGTTTGTTTAACTTCAGCTACTTCAGTATTATTTACAACATTTGCTTTATTTCTTTTCAACATCATAACTGCTCCTGCTGTAGCTAGCAAACCTAGTGGGAGACCATATCTTATATAAGGACTTGACCAAATGCTATTTTTGACAGGAGCTGGTGGAACACCTAACCTTGGTGAAACTGCTCTTTGCCATTGTGCAGCTCGTAAGAAATATTCAATAGGTGCTCCATAATCGTTTGGTAAAGTTTGTTTCATAGATGGTGAAGGTTCGCGAGAGCTTGATGAAGAACTCATTTATAAGCTTTAAAAAGGTTCATTCCTTTATTCCTCACTGTCGTCCGTAGCTAAGTTATAGTCATCTCATCTTATTATTGGGATTCCATTAGCACGCACCTGAATGGCAAAGCAACAATCCCTCATAAATCCAATAAGTGGCTTTGGTACGTTTTCAGTTGCTAGTTCAATAGGTCCTTTAACAGACAATTTGTATGTTATTGGAGCAGTAGATGTTTGACCTTGTTGGAAGCAAAAGTCCACTTCTGTTGAAACCACATAAGAAATGTGTGTTGTCATAGCTATCCCATTTATGTTCCACACTACCATCATCCACCAATGACCTCATAACATCTTCATTAAATCCTATCATATCATTGTTTTTATTGCAAGCGTTCGCAACCATTTAATAAAATACAGGTCCATATGATTTTTCAGGTTCTGCAGGCAATATTTCCATAAGCTCCCATGGAAAGCTGAAGATATTTTAAACTTAGGGTTCTCAAAATTAACATAATAGTTGTCTTTCTTTCTAAATAGTGCCCAAATACTTTTAACATTAATAGGCGTATAAGCGCTGTAAATGTTGCACTTGAACTATCTGTATTCTTTGAGAATGAACCGTCCATAGGAATCCAATCCATAACTTTAACAGGAAAACATAAAGCCTCGTTTGTATAATGTTCTACAAGTTCTGTATAAATGTTAGGGTCTAAAGAGAATGACTTTGGATGAATGAAACATTCATTAAAATCCATCTTTGTTCGAAATAGTTGCTGGGTTACAGTTGTAATAGTAACTGTTCCACTAGCTTCTACTGCCTTCGTTATCATAGTGAATGGTTCATTCCATGGAACAAATTTATTTGTCGGTGGATTTGAATCTGAAGCAAATGCACTTTAAAGGTTGGATTGAAAGCAATGATATCATTTACAGAATAGATGTGCATTGTAAGGCGTCGCTACTGAACTTTACTTTAAGCTGAATGTTTCTGCAAAAGCTGGAATAAATCGAATAGCTTCTAATGGAAGGAATCTTCTAACAGGAATTCTTAAACGAAGCTTAAAATCAATGATTTTCCTGCTGTAATTGGACACTAACAATTTGTCCTGTTCTGCATGTTCCCGAATGACTCCATCATCTTCATGTCGAGTCTTTGAGAAAACATTCACCACATCACATCTACATCACACTAGCACCCATCACACACTCACAGTCAAACACAAAATAGCACATACCACATCACCAATTCATATCAACACACACACAACTAAAAGTCATCAACCCACAATCAGACAAACATACACACGACACGACTAATGCCAGAGCACAGCAAAGAAGATGATGAAAGATTCATGTTTCATCTACGCTTGTATTCAAGCTGGGTGTTGACGAAGCAACAATTAATCATATGAGGGAAATCATTCCGTGTCAAAGATTTTCCAATGTCAAAGATTAAGGTTATTGCCAAAGAAACAGAATAAGGTTCCATGTCATCAAATACAACGAGAAGTATTCAAATCATTCATATACTTATGAACCAGATGAAGAACCAAAGATGACAGTAGAACTTTTATTAATGTATGACCACTACATGTTGAACGAAAAGCTTCCAATAAGTTCAATGTTCATCAAGAACTATGAAGATGTTTGAAGTTGTGCAAGGATTGGACTTTAGAGAGAAGATGTTAGTTAACAGAAGATATGAAACAAGGTATGCAATTAACTCAAAGTTAGTTACACACTTTGCAAAAGTCATTGAACTCTTGTTTGCTAACAATTATTTCGAACCAATTAGAACAGGAGAAACTTTGCACATACTCACAACGATGTATAATGAGAACCTTGAAGAAATGATTGACCTCACATACAATGAGCGTTATTGCGCAAGGATGAAAGAAATGATTTGGGAGTTTCAAGTACGTAATAGGAATGAAGTTCCCAAGAGAACATGTTTTCTTTGCTGACTTCGAAGCATCAACTGATGGAAACATTCACAAAGCATACAACATTTGTTTCATGGAAGATGACGATGATGGTTATACATCAATTTGGGGAAGTGACTGTGCGTCAAAATTCCTCGAAGCTTTACCAGATAAGAGTTTAGTTTATTTCCACAACTTATCGTACGATGTCACTTTTCTCATGTCTCAGTTAGAAGAGATTACAGGAACTCCAATCATCAAAGGTTCACAAACGATGCAGATACAAGGAAAGTACAAAGGAAAACTTCTCTGCTTCAAAGACTCTTATGCAATCATCTCAACTAAGTTGGAAAGATTCCCTGAAATGTTTCACCTCACTAGTGGTGAAAAAGAAGTTTTCCCATATAATTACTACACGGAAGAGTTAGTTAATACAACTAAAGTTGGTAACATCGATGATGCCATGAATCATGTCAAAGATATTGAAGCTTTTAATGAGAACATTGAGAAGATTGAAGATTGCAAGATTGATGATGAACACTTTGACATGGAAGTTTATTCGTCATTCTATTGCGGTCAAGATGTACGCATTTTACGAGATGGCTTTCTTAAGTTCCGCAATGACCTCATGACTGAGTTTGAAATAGATGCTTATGATTATGTTTCAATAAGTTCTATCTCAAACAAACTCTTTGAGAAGAGAGTATATTGGAAGAACGGTAATCTCTTTGATCTTGCAGGAAAACCTCGTGAATATATTTCCAAGTGTATTCAAGGAGGAAGATGCATGCTAGCTGAGAACAAGAAGCAATACAATGAAGGAGAACTCATCACTGACTTCGATGCTGTATCATTGTATCCATCAGCAATTGCTAGACTTTACTGTTTAGAAGGAATTCCAAAAGTTATGACAGAAGAGATGAAGAGCAGTGAATACTTGTTGGAGCATCTCTTTGATGATGACCAAGCTGAACCAACAAAGGAAAAGTTCATCTCAGGATTTTACTGTCAGATCGAGATCTTGTCGATCGGTAAGAACTCAGCATTCCCATTGATTGTCGTCAATCCTGACATCAACCCTGACTTACATGTTGCCAGAAGTTCCAATACATGCTGCAAGATGTTCGTAGACCACATTACGCTTCAAGATCTGATCAAGTTCCAAGAGATCTCATGCAAAGTCATTGATGGATACTATTATGATGGAAAAAGGGACATGACAATAAGGAATGAAGTTAAGAAGCTCTTCGAATTACGTGCTAAGTATAAGAAGGAAGGTAATCCGATACAAGAGATCATCAAACTTCTTTTGAACAGTATCTATGGTAAGACGATATTAAAGCCCATTGACAAAAAGATTCGTTTCATCAAGGACAATAAGCTCACTGACTATATCATTAAGAACTATAATGACATACAGACAATAGAGTTCATCCCCGATTCCGAACTTTCATGTGTAAAGTCATTTAAACCTATCGTTCGTCACTTTAACTATTGTCCATTAGGTGTTTCAATCCTTTCTATGTCCAAACGAATCATGAATGAAGTATTCTTCACAGCAGAAGATTTGGGCTTGAAGTTGTTCTATCAGGATACAGATAGTTTACACTTGTATGAGAAGGACTTAGATAAGTTAGCAGAAGAATACAAGAGAAGGTATAACAGAGAACTCATTGGAAAAGCACTGGGTCAATTTCATTCAGACTTTGCAGAGATTACTGCAGGACATATGTCTAAGGCACAAAGATCTATATTCGTTGGAAAGAAGACTTACCTCGACGAATTAACCAATGACCTCAAGGAAATTGCTTTCCACTGTCGAATGAAGGGAATCACACAGGACGTAATTGCACTTACTGCAAACCAAATGTTCCCAGATGCGATACAAGTACATTATGACGAGAAGAAAGGTTTGTTCTTCCCTGAGAAAGTTGGGGAAAAATATAGCATCGTGGAATTGTACAAATCTCTTTATGAAGGTGATGAGATAACCTTTGACTTGTGCATTGGTTCGAAACCATGCTTCAACAAAAATAAGGACTTCACTATTTCAACGAAGTCATCTTTTGAACGTAAGTTAAAGTTCTAAACACTTACTTATTATTTTTCTTAGCTTCTTCCTCTTCTCTCAATTTCTTTGCAATCATTCGTGGATTCTTTGCGCGTCCAGCTGCTAATGCAGCTAATTGTTTCTCTGTGAGTTTACGCTTTGGTTTAGCTGGTTTCTCTTCTTGTGTTTGTTCTTTTGGTTTGAGTTCATTAAGTATTTCTTCACGAAGTTCATTCTTGAGTGCTTCTCTGTCGAAAGTATTCTCAGTCATTTTGTTAGGAGTAAAAAATTTTATTAGGATAGAAATGACGTCAAAACTTTCACCAAGTGAAAAGCAATCAATCATATTGAATGAAGCTAAAGGAATACAACATCCATTATATTATGTTTGTCATATGAAGAATGGTTCAGTTCAAGTTAGAAAGAGAAAGGCACCATTGAATTCACCAGCTCCTGCCCCAGCTCCTGTTGTTCAAGAAGCTCCTAAAGTTGATGAGAAGAAAGAAGAAGAACAAGCATATACTAATAAAATGTTGTTAGAGATGATGACAAAGATATTAGAACGTAACAGTGTAGTTAATGAACCAAACATGGACCCAATTGAACGTGAGAAGGAAACTAAAGAGAATCAAGAATATGTTCAATCAATGGAAGAGAAAAGAATACACTTCGATGATGAACCAGAGCCTGAACCAGAACCTCCTAAACCTCAGCCACAAATAAGACGAATAATCCCAAGAATAAGAAGATTGTAAATTTTTTATAGCTGAGAAAGATGTTGAACGATAACCTCAATACATACAGTATTGCTGATTCCATCAGACAAGTAAGATATTATTTCGATCAAGTTGATGGGGCAGTTCCTATTGGAGATACTAACCATAGATATGTCCCAACAAAAGTGCCAGCTATGCCGACAAATACTATTGATAACGGTTATATTACATTTAACATATCACCACCTGGTGAGAACATGATTGACTTATATAATACGTTCATTAGTGGTTATGTCGATGGTGAGTGCATAATTACAACAGAAACTGAACCAGCTGATGAAAAAGTTCCTAAATATGATGGTGAAGTATATAAAGAAAGAGCTGTTGAGACAGCTCCTACAGGATCAAATGTTACAGCAATTAAAGCAATTGATACTAAATATGCTGGTGGCAAATCATGTGCACATCTTCCAGCAATTTGGTTGGGATACATTGATTCATTCTATGCTGTTGAATCATATCAATTAATCGCTAATGGTAAAAGTGTTTATACACAAGATAATGCTAGAGAAGAAGGTTACATTACTTCTACTGCATCTACAACAGAAGCTATTAAGAAAGTTGATGTATTTAGTAAGGCTAGACATAAAGATGTTTTCAATAGATGTGATACAGTTCGTTCTGGACAGATTATTGAGTTCAATAAACCAATTAGTGGTGCAACTACATTAAAGTTCCACATACCAATCAAGATTGACCTAAGAAGATTCCTAATACTTAATAACATTAGATTCCTTCCAGCGTTTGCTGGTAACTTACAACTTAAGGTTAAGTTCAGTATTGCTGGTATGGTTTGGACACCATTAAGTTATCAGGATATTCTACCATTACCGAACATGCAAGCCAATGTTACAAGCTATATTCCAATCACTAATCACTTCACTCCTATCTATGAAGGTATCAAAGTTATTGATACTGTAACTTGGAATGCCGATAAGAGTACGATATCATTTGGTACCAAGTTTATTAAGTTCACTAAGAAGAATGCAAACTTCTTTGAAATGATTACATACTGTAACTCATTCTCTTTGGACCCTAACATCTATAGTGATTTGGTGACAAGATATTCGGCAAAGACTCTAAACTTCCCAATCAAAAGAATTGACTGCATTACTATGGATGGTTCAATGGCTAAAGGTGAAGGAACTCCTTGTACATTCACGGCAGCATTTACTCCATTATATGTGAACACCATTTATACACTATTTAAGAAAACACCTAATTATAACACTACCTATGAAAATCCATTGTTTGAACAAATTCAATTGAACTGTGGAGCATATGGTAACATACCCGCTGAGGCTCAAGCATCTAATGATCCAATCTTCTATGAGATGCAGGCAAATGCCACTAACAATAATAACGATACTGTTGGCTTCAACTATGATGTCATGAGGTCTATCACAACCACATCAGTCCCTCAATTTGGAATCGAGTCAAATGACTTAGGTCATTACCTATGTGGATTCCCTTGCGAAACTGATTATACATTCCAACAGGGTCAGTTATCTAATTCACCTATTACATATAAGCTTACAGTTAAGCCAACAGCAGAGTCTATTAAATATACTGAGAAACCAGTGTTATGCTTCTTACGTCACGTTTGCCTCTCCATACAGATTAAACAGGTGGGACCACCTATCGTACTTCTCGACGATTATGATTTATCAGCCCCTGCTAGTGAATAAAGGTTAGTTTACATATGAACGTTTATTTTTACACATATATGCGTACATATGCGCGCCCGTATGGTGTCAGTTTTCTGTCACTTTTTTCATTGTGTCGGTGCCTGTAGCTGTAGGCTACAGGCGACGCACAATGTATACTGTACTGGTTTTTGAGAAGGATTATTCAATTTCATTTCAAATGAAAAGAAATACTGAATAAATTTTGACCCAAAAAGCGAAATTATAATTATATCGAGAGAAATAAATAAGAGTTATGTGGAAAGAGAGATTTAAACATCATTTTTTACCATTTCCTACCTTCTTTTGAGGAATTTCAAATGGTTCGTCAGTTCCAGCCTGGTAGATAACAGTATTTCTGAAAGAAGAGTGATCTCTAACAGCGTCATAGTGCTGTTTGTATTCCAATTTTGTATCTGGTGGTAATTCGAGCGCCGAGCATAATGCACGGCAAATTTCATGGCGTACTTTATCATCTGATGCAGTTCTATTCCATAAACTAATTATATCTTCAGGATATCTAACAGAAATAACTGCTCCAAGGGCATCTACTGGAAATTGTTCTCCAATTAATGCCATAATAAGTCTTTCCCAGTAGTATGAGCCTAATCCCTTTTTTAATCTAATAATCCATTTTCCTCCTTTCACGTTATCTTGGTCTTCCCAAATTGCGCGTATTCCATTCCTAAATAGATGATAGTCTGTTGGTGGTTCTAAGTCATTTGGACGTTTAAGGTGACTATATATTGACCAAAATTCTTCGATTGTATTAAAACTACCGAGTGTATGTATATTTTTCTCGTAATTGTCAGCTGCTTTTGAGCCAGGTGCTCTGTAAAACATATAAAAACTCCACTCAGAAGCAAGCGGAGTATTCGATTTTCTCATCGAAATTAGGTGAAAAATTGTAAACTGAGATTTTTAAATAATCATTGGAAAAAATTATATTTTTAAAGCAATATTTATACGGACAAATGTTTAATGAGACTGATTCTTATCAATTCACAATTGATTTAATGCAATGGCCTAAATATGAACCATTTAATAATGTAGTCTATAGTAAATAAATTTTTATATGTATTTGAGGCGAATCACTTAACCCTTTTGGTTGAGATCCTTCAATTAGTTCAATAATTGATCAAAAGTAGTGATAACGTTAATGATACTTGATATAAGTTGCAGAATCGTTCTATGAAATTGAGGGTTTCAATAACGTGTGTTATAAAAGAAGTAAAAACAAAAATAATGTAAAATATATTCTAACAATTTATTAAATTTTGGTTATTATCGTTACGAAAATGAATAGAAAGTTATATTATAATATAAATATAACAGAAAGTATTCAGAATTATTTCTTGATACAAATTGTTGGGTAAAGTCTATCCCAATAGTAGCAAACGTTCTGTGGGATGTTTTCTAGCATCTTTTCTGCTGTATTCAAGAAATCTTCTTTTGATTGGTAGTTTAATGCAGACCAGACAGACATATCATTAACTTGTGTAATGCGAGGCGAGCACAATCCAAGTTGGCTTGCTCCTGGTCGTAGAAGCTCGAAAGGAATTGAACAAATTGGAAGGGAGTCAAATGATTTGTTCAAAAACATCTTGTAATGCTCTTCACTTCTCCACCCTCGACCTAGAAATTCATCTGTTTGTCGATCTCTTACAATTATTCCTAACGTTTCAACAATTTCTGACAAAATTTCATCTGCTGGCAATCCGATTTGAAAAGCAACTTGCCAGAGATGGTCATCCATTGTATCAACAATTTTTTGAACAAGTGATCGGGATAAAAGAATTCCGGAATCTAATAATAACATTTGGAAGAAATATCTTTGTTCTACGCAATCTCCAAGAATATACCTATTGTTATTCCTATTTAATTGCATTTCCTTACGAATAAACTTTATAAATCTGTCTAATTTCATGTATGCGGCGTCATTAATAACAAAAAGAAAATCAGCATATGATCTCTCCAAAAATAGCTTTAGAGAATGTATCAGTAAGAATGCTGATGGGTTTACTGTATATTTTGGTAAAGAATTGATCGTGATTGTAGATAAATTACATTCTTCGTTATCCGTGGCATTTAATGAGTACATTTCAACTCCATCGATTTCTTTATACTGTTTTATTGGATCCATCCATTGTCTTTTCATTATACAGTGATATTTTTCAGGTTTATATGAATTATCAAGAACCATTATATATAATTGCTTAGAATATTCTAGTTCGGAAAGAAATGGAGGCTTTGGGTTTTTCTTTCGCAGACTCCAAACTAATTTTGGATCATCATATGGAATTGGTTTTGAATATTTTTTGAAAGTTGGAAAGCTATTCGCTTGGCTTCTAAACGAAATCATAATACTTACTAATGAAATGATTGTTACAACAATTATTCTGAAAAATATTAAGGTTTTTTTCTTGGTTAGTTGCTTCATTAATCACACATCAATAATGGCTCTAAAAATTGATGCATTTGTATCAGGAATGCATAGAAGTATGCTAGATCTTAGAGGTTTTAAGATGTTAGAACTAATTCAACAAAGAGAATTAAAATCAATCTAAAAATTGATTAAAATTATGAAATTATGTGAATCCTCAATGAAGCAATTATGTTTAATTCGAATTTATTTTGTTCATAAAAAACTTTATTTTTTGGAAGGAAAAAAAAATGCCAACATAAAAAATCAATCAAACTTTCACTATTATGCAGACGGGTAATGTAAAGCAGTCTGTAACTAACACAGAAGAATTAATACAGGCTTTTATAAACAATAACATAGCACAAATCAATGGTTTTCTCAAAGACGCTAATTTAGATACGTTGAAAAAATTAAACAAAGAAGAGATATTGCATTTGCTCGATTACATGGGAATAAGTAATAGATTCTTCAAACTCATTTATGATACTTTTAATACCCAAGCAAATGAAGTTCAAGAAAAAAAGATTTCTAAAGAATCATTAGTTGATGAACCCCAAACAATCGGTGATATTGCACCTGTAGAAGAGGGAAGTGGAACACAAATTTTTACAAACGAGGCACATGCTCAAGAAAATGAACATGTAATCGGAGATATTGCAGTTGAAAAAGAAGATAATCAAGAAACAAACGAAGCTCTGGTTGAGAAACCGGAAGTTCCAGTACAAACGCATAAAGAAGATCACAAAATGACGACTGTTGAAGAAGATTACATTAAGAAGTGGAATAATTTGGTATCAACAAATTCCCTTGAAACTCTTTTAGAACAAAGTAAATCCGAAGTCAAAAGTTTGTTCAAAGAACTTCTTGATACAGATTATCCTGATTTAAATAAAATCATAATTCAGAAAGTCAAATCAGAACCAAAAGTATTCAATATTCAATATGAAGTTTTCAATCAGATGTCATCAAATCTATCCATTCCAAGTTCTCTCCGCTATTCATTAATTCCAATTTTAGCTTCAAAAACAACTGATTTCAAAGCATTCTTGCAGAACCTTCACGAGCAAATAAAGGACACAAAAGCAACTCTATCTGATGATTTTGTCAACAATTTGATCAGTGCATTTGAAATCTGTAACAAGTATGATAAACAAGTAACACAAAATCATGAATATTACGGATATATTGTTCAAGATATCTTTGCCAATTTGATCAATAATAACAAAGAACTAGCAATTAGTGATAATCTAACTTCATTCCTTGAGCATTACTATACATTTCTTGATCCAAAAGCAGTTGTTTTATTCATTTGCAAGAAGAAATGTTTGCAATTACAAAATATTCAATCTGTAAAGAATGGACTTCAAAATCTTGGCGGAACATGTTATTTGAATTCAACAATTCAACAATTGTTCAATATCAAAGAATTCAGAGACCTGATTCTCAGTGCTCAAGCTCAAAATGATAAATACATCACAGCTCTTCAAGATTTGTTTTGTGAGATGCAATACAGTTCAATTCAACATCAAATTTCAATGAAACGCTTTGTTCATGATTTTACATTCCAAGGTGATTCAATTGATCCATCCCAACAAAATGATGCTGATGAATTCTATGTTGATGTCATCAATAATGTTTATGACATTCTCAAAGCCGAAAACAATCTATTCTTCATGAGAATTGATGGTGATTATGAAGATAAGGCAACTAAAAATGTCATTCTTTCAATAAATGATGACAAACTTTCATTCCTAATCAAAACAGATGTCAATAAGACTATTGCTCAACAAATTGATGATTACATCGCTCCAGAACCAATACAACAAATGTCGAAGGGAGTTATGTATGACTGTCTTTTGAAGAGAAAGATCATCAATCTTCCAGAAGTCTTTGTCTTCAAACTTGAGAGATTTGATTCATCTTCAAAGAAAAATTACAACAAATCTTATCAAATTCAACCAGATTTTGTATACAATGGCGTTCAATTCACTCTTTGTGGAACAGTTATCTACTATGGAACTACACAACATGGACACTATTACTCATACTGTAAACAAGGAGAAAATTGGTACTTATTTAATGATACTCAAGTAGCACAAACATCATTGAAACAAGTATTGAAGGAATCAAATGATTCTGCAAATATGCTTTTCTACAGAAGAGTTAACAACAGTCCTTCATCAATGACATCGTTGTTGGCACATGATAAAAAGTTCATGCGTATAATCAATAAATTTACCAAATCATCAATTGATACAGATATCCTTGTTTGCAGATACGCTACTCACATCGAACATAGTAGAAATAAAGAGGCCACAGAAACAAAAGCAAAACTTAAGAAGCCAATTCCATTCCTTATGACAGATGATTTCTTCAAAGCATATCTTTTGCATCCAAATCCAAATGTCAGAAATGAAATGCTCAAACTGTTCCAAGAGAACTTTAATGCTACAAAAGATGATTGGTACTTTGATTTCATTTCTTACGTCATTGTTTCTAACAAATGCTACCTTTATGAAAGAAAGCAGTTTTGGGATTGTTGCTTCAGAGTTTTCAAACCTGTCAGAACAATTTCAATTGAGGCATTTCAGAATCTTGCTTCATTTTTCGTAAATGGATGCTTTTCTGGTATCATTTCTCAAGGCGCAAATGTTCAGTATTTGATCGCTACAATTAGAAAATGTGTTGATAAACCGACTCTAAAACAGCACTTAGACAAATATAGAAGTTGCTACGATCTTTTCCCAAACTACTAAATATTTCCAAAGGTTTATGAATAAACAAATATTTTTATAATTTTTAAACATGACGATGATTTCAATAATAAAATATATTATGCAGGCATCAAAAGTGATTCGAGTTCATATAAGTTGAGCTTGTCGTATTGAATTCGAAATTATTTTTTCCCTCAAATTGCTTGAACGCCATGATTTTTGTATTATTTTGAAGCACTGTATTGATGCCATGTTGAATCATTAATTGATATGTTATTAGTCAAATGTGATATGATAAATTTTGGAATGCAAGGTTCTGAGCAGAGCAATTCTAAGGACAAAGATGAAAAACCTAAATTGGAATTCCTCTATAACCAAGAAGATTTTATAGGAAATGGTGCATTTGGTAAGGTTTATAAAGCTTACACGAAAGATAGCAAAGATAAGAAATATGCAGTAAAAATTTCAGATGAAAGGACAGTAAGTATTGTCCAACTCAGAATGGAGCATGAATTGTATCTCAAATACCAAAAATGCCCTCATATTCCTAAAGTATATGATTATAAAGAAGAAAATGGAAGAGCTTATATGTATATGGATTTACTTGGTAAGAATTTTGAAAGTATAAGAGTTAATATTGGCAAAAATCTAGCGCCAAATATCCTTTATCCGTATATGACACAAATGATTGAAGCTCTAAAAGAATTCCACTCAAAAGGTTACATTCATAGAGATATCAAGCCAGAAAACTTTGTCCAAGATTTACATGACAGCAAAAAAATTTACATTTTAGATTTTGGCCTTTCAGAGCCATATATTATCGATAATAAACATAAACCAGACTCACAGGTCAAAACTTCCCTCACAGGTACTCCCAGATATGCATCTATAAACGCCCTTGAAGGAGGCGAACAATCAAGAAGAGACGATTTAGAATCTTTATTTTATGTTTGGTGTTTTCTTTTGAAAGGGAATTTACCATGGCAAAGAAAACTCGACCCTGCATCTAAGAATCCTTACGCTTGTATTATTGAAATTAAAAAGGAATGCCTCGAAAAATTTTCAATTAATGATACAGCCAATATTATCCCTAAAACATTAAATCAAGACCTTAAGCGTGCTCTGGTTAACTATATACAAAGCGTGAGAAAATTAAAGTTTGCAGATGAACCAAAATACGACGAATACATTAATTACTTCAAGAATTGCAAATTCGATAACTCTACCGGTACAAAACATATAGTAGAACATCGTAAAGCCAATACAATCACTCTTACAAGTCCGAAAAGATATTTCATCGATTATCCGTCGAATAATACAGAACACTACTGCGAACCTATCTCAGATGCCAGTAGTTTTGATGATTTCTGTGGGCTTCTCGACGGATCCCTTTGTCCAAGGATAAATTCTCAATATACTTACCAAATCCCTGAAGAAGCGAATTTCACATTGAGAGATTTCCCAGTAAAGCTTGATGATAACGATATTACATCGGTTGAAGAGATTCCCAAATTTCCACTGCTGAATCTCAATGTTTTCGGATTTAAATCTCAAAATACGCCACAAAAATTTTGTATTCATATTGAAATATCACAACAAAGAAAGAAAGATTATTATGTACCACAAACAGTTGCTCAAACTGCAAAAGCAAAGTCTCCAATTTTAATTCAAAGGTCACAGTCGGATTCAATTAATATTGTAAGTAGCTCCAACTCATTCAAATAATTTTTTGTATAAATTTATATGTTTATTAAAATTTTTTCACTTTATATAAAAAAACTCATTTTTATTTTTATCTCCCTAAAGAGATTCTTAAATATTCCACATATATGACTAATGGGAATAACTATTAATCGACTATAATTCTATAATTATAAATTTCATTTACTGAGAAATTCTAGATGTAGAAATTCTTATCAAAAAAAAAAAAAAAAAAAAAAAGGTAGTGGGGCCTCCAGGCACTTCGTGCCCTCTAGCCCCGAAGATGTTAGTATAAAATGAGTTTAGTATAAAATGAGGTTTTTTTGGGTAAGGGGGCCTTCCAGGCACTTCGTGCCTTCTAGCCCCTAAAATTTTTGTAGAGAACTCAAAATAGTATAACTGTTGTCCGGACAAGTAAGGGTCTATCGTCGCTACAGAAAAGTTACGGGTGTTCCAAGTAGACTGGACTTTGAGAAGCCTTTTCTCCATTTTAAACAAGATAGGACGGTTATTTTACAAAACTGACAAGACCTTAACCGAGTAGTTTTCATGTTTTGTCACTTTTCTGTCACTTTTCAGGAAAAAACATTTTTATTATATATATATAAAATGAATTTTACAAAACCACCACTACCCTTCTTTGGAAATAAGAGTAGATGTAAAGATATTCTATTGAGAGAACTTAAGAAACTACCGAATGGTCTAACATTTGTAGATTTGTTCGGTGGAAGTTTCTATATATCCCATCTGTGCCATACCGTATTCCCAGACTCAAAGATTATATGCAATGACTTCGACAACTATATGAACCGTCTCAAACATATACCAGACACAAACAAAATATTGAGTGAGTTGAAAGAAAAGATACCTATAGGTAAGATGGAACGTATACCATTAGATAAGAAAAATATTGTGAGAGAGGTTTTGAAAAAGGCAGAGTATATTGACTGGGATAGTATATCTTCTAGACTATTATATAGTGGTTCTATAAGAGTTCATGACATTGAAACACTTATGTCAAACGTTTTATATCTTAACTATACAAAGGTTTTCAAAAAGAACATAGAAAAATATACTGAGGGTATAGAGTTTGTGAGATGTCATTGGACAGAGTTGTATGAAAAATACAAAGACAAGGAAAATGTTTTCTTTATAGTAGACCTGCCGTTCTATAACACATACGATTTTCAATACCAAGTAGACTGGACTTTGAGAGACTCTTTAGAAACTTTAGACGTTTTACATAACCATCCATGCTTTTACTTTACATCCGATAAAAGTGGTTTGGAAACCGTTATGAGATGGTTAGAGGACATACATGACTATGAGTTTAGATATGATAAGATAGAATATGAGAGAGGTCCTATAAACCGGAAAAAGTGTCACAACAAAGAAATTTTATTGGTAACTAAATGTGGTTTGAAATAGGACTACTTGTTTTAGGTTTTTTCCATTGTGTCATTTACTTATTTGACGTGGCAGAAAGATATAGAGAATATGAAGATGAACCAATACCAGCAAATGTTCAGCATATGTACTCGTAAGAGATATTTTTATCTAATATTAAATGGACGCACAGAACTTAGCGAATGCACAGCAACCTGGACAACCAAACCCAGAGAATATTCCAAATGAAGTTAGAATACAAACTGCAATGGCAAACTATGGTCAAGTGCCAACAGATGTACAAATGCAAACTGCCATGTCAAATGACGCTGCGTTAGGTTTGCCACCATGGTATGCAAATATGAGATGGAAAGAGTTTTATACAAACCCTGAAGTCGGATATAAACAACTTTATGCAGATGACGCGAACACAGGAGTTGACCCAGAATATGTTTTCTACCAGAGGAGAAATAGAATGTATGAGCTCCAGTTAAAGAATGCTATGGAACTCAGAAGGAAACGTAAGAGACTAGGCGGACATTAGATTTTTACATATAGTAAAATGGGTTTCTTTGGAAGAATAGGAAACTTCTTTCGAAATGTTGGTATATAATGGAATAAAAATCTGTCGGAAGAGGAATTTGGAACGGTGTCAAAAATATTGGTAAAAGAGTAGGTCAGTTCGTTGGTATTATACCTAAAGACCCTGAACCAGAAGAACAAGCTCCTGTTATACAACAGCCTGAACCTGCACCACAGTCTAGTTGGCAACCAAATCCAACACCTCAACCGTATTAAAAAATTATATTTTTACCGTTCGATAGTAGTTGTATATGAAACTAAGTTCTAAGTAAAACGCGTGGTATAATGGAATTATTCTCTTTCTTCCATCTGTAGTAAACCATACTTGAAAGTCTGAAATACTTCCACTTGGTGGTTCGTATAGCTTTGTAGGTTTTTCGTAAAAGTCATTTGCCAAGCATAAAAAAGAGTTTTGTGCACCAGAAAATGAAGCATGAACTATAATAGCATCTTGGTCGAAAACATTTTCATATGTTCCATTAGGGTTTTCGACTTCATAAAAGTTCGGGTGTACTGGATATGCTGCAGGCTGATTTAACATCCTCAAAAATCTATACCATGCCAAGTTGTTATATTTTGTAGAAATATAAACGTTTTCTCCAAGGTCTTCTATTCTATTGATTTTAACAGTTGCATTTTTCCTGTCATATATAATATCGAGATGGTACTCTCCTTCGTCAATGTTATACTGTTTTGCATATTCGAGATAGATATCGTTTATTTTTTCTTGAAAAGCTTGAAGAGTTGTTTCTAAGTTTACAAGCAAATTCACTTGTAAAAGTTTTCCCTGTTCAAATTTCTCATACGTATGTTTTTCTTTGTTATAGTATCGAACTTCAAAACCGACCGTAAATGGGAAACCATGTATGGCTTCTGAAATGAACTTCATTCTACGAAAGCCAACAGCAACGGATGGGTCTCTTAACCATCTTAGTGGGTAGTCAAAACGATAGCCTTCATGCTTTACGGTATCTGTCTCAAACTTTTGACCGACATTAGTAAAAAGTTCATCTAATGGTTTAGTTGTAGCAACTCTTGAATTTTCTTTTTCTATTGAAAGCATTTTTTATCTAGAATAAAAATGTCAAATGAAACAGCGTCTATGAGAGAAATACAACACAACCGACAACTCATTGTGCAAGCTCTAAATAAGAACACAACAAACTTTTCAAACTATTCTAAGATATCTGAGTCATTGAAAGAAGGAAACTTAAAACTGACAATGAACCCAATGACAGATGAGTTTCTGTTTCAAGACAATAGGAACCATACTGTCTGTGTAAATCCAACAAAAGGAACTTTAAACGAGAAACCTATAGATGAACTTCTTTTGAAAGCAGATGTTGACAACAAAGCTGACAAAGAGTATGTCATTGAAAAAGTTCAAGAAGAACATGACAGAGCAGATGCAACATATGCAACGAAAGAGGATGTTGAAAAGAAAGCAGATAAAACATATGTTAACGATGAGTTAGCATGTGTGGCTAGTGCGTTAGTGAAGAAAGCAGATAAGGAATATGTGGATGAAAAAGACAATGAAATTAAAGAAAGGGTTGAATGGTATAATGAACGGACATCGAAGATTTTAAAAACGAAAGCTGATACAGGATGGGTTTCAGGGTGTTTAGACCTTAAAGCGGATAAAACATATGTTAACGTTAGCCTTGAAAAGAAGGCAGATAAGAACCATACACACGATTTCTTCGCAACTGTTGGTATAGAAAATATTGAAGGAACGGTTGAAGGAGCTGATGGAACTGGTGGGGATATACTACTTTGGAAACCTCCTAACTTTCCACAAGGTTTAACATCGGAGGATGACATAACAACGATGAAATACACTAGATGTAGAAATGTCTATGTCATGGAGGATGAAAACAATGTTAAATTCACTGCTCAAGATTTATATGATAAAAAAGCTGACAAAACAGAGCTTCAAACATTAAAGACAGAAATACTTCAAACAGTATATCCTATAGGTTCTATTTATACGTCAATGAACTCTACCAGACCAGAAGTAGTACTTGGTTTTGGAACTTGGACTCAAATAGTCGACAGGTTTTTGTATTGTGCAAACTCTTCAAAGGAAACAGGTGGAAGTAAAACGATTTCAGGTGAAAACTTACCTGCACACAGTCACTACATAGATTTAAGTACATCTGAAGCAGGTTTGCATAGGCATAAATATTGGGGTTGGTCAGTAATGACAAAAGGTAAAGGATATGATGTTAAAGACGACGTTAAGTTTGCTATAAATGGTTACTGGGATGACACTTGGAGAGAAGGAGACCATACACATCGCGTTTCAGGGTATACGCAAACAACGGACAAAGTGAAAGACTACATGCCACCTTACATGACAGTTTACGCATGGTATAGAAATGCTTAGTCGTCATTTTCAACTTCTTTAGCATATTCGTCAGGAGTTGTCTTATATTTGTTAGGAACTGTCTTTGAAAGTATACCACCTTGAACTTTGACAAGTTTGAAACGAGGTCTGACAATAGTAGTTTTATCTTCTGTGCTTGCAGTGTGTACATTTGCCATGTTTGCCTAAAACTTCATAATATTCTCTTGTATACTTTCTTCTATTTTTTACGAACACGAATGTGAGTACCTGTCGGTTCCCATTGTTGTCATAGTCAATAGTATTTTCATATGGGTCGCGTTTAGGTATTTCTATTTTACTTTGTCACCTTTCTGAAGTTTGAAGCCCGGCATTCTTTCTTGTTTGTCTCTTTTGACTAAATTGTTAAATATAAAGTCTTTCTCTAAGTCGGGGTTGTTTTTCATTTCTTCGGGGAGTGGTTTCCCAAACCTTTTTGTTTACGGCTATTGTAAATATTTAAAACTTGTCTCATCTTTGCCATGGAGAAGTGTCTATATTTGTCGTCATATGACATTTCATCTACCTCACCACCTTGTGGTTGGTTTAAGTCTCTTAAGATTTTTATACAACTGTCAATGACACCAAGAGCAGAATGGTTTTGGTCGACAATGAAATATTGGTTTACATTTTTTGAACGCAGATAGTTTTAATATCATCTGATTTGAAAGAACTTTCATAGTCAGATGTCAGTTTTGTTGGATGGTATTTGTCAACGAATATTGTCAAAGCAGTTTTCACATCTAAAATATTTTTGGACCATAATGGTATGGCTTCACAGTATCTTGTGTTTTGACCAACAAATATTAGCCAGTATGGTGGTCCATCTTCTCTATACCTTGGAATGTTTTCCAAGATATCCATAAACCAAGCATTTGGTGTTGAACTAAAGATTTTTACCATGAGTGCTTTCTTTGTCGCTTTAGAAACATACGGGTCCTTGTTTGAATTCGTCATTTTTTAACCCATAAGAAATGGGTTTATTTGGCGCATTAGCAGGAGTCGCATCTAGATTTTTACCCGCAGTGGGAACAATAGCCAGAGGTGCATTTGGAATTGGAAGGAAGATTTTGAGTACATTAGGTATACTTAAAGAGAAAGCACAACCTATTATACAAACTGTACAGAAAGGTTGGGAGGTAGCACGAGATGCAACAAATCTTATTCCAAATCCTGAAACAAGAGGAAAAGTTCAAGGATGGATGGACAATGTAGGAACACAAGCAGGAAACTATTATAACAAAGCAAATGACTACTATAACCAAGCAGGACACTATATGGACCAAGGTGAAAGATTCTTTAACAGAGGATATAACCATGCACAACAGTGGGTAAACAATAACCAACCTCAACCGCCTCAAACGTGGGGAATGTAAAATTTTTTACTGAGATGAAATGAACAATACAGCTTTGAGACAAATGGGTTCAAGATGGATTTGTCGGCTTCCAGCAGTTACACCACCACGTGTTTGTCAAGTCCTCCCTATACCTCAAGAAGTTTTAGACCGACTTAAAAAACCTAAACAACCAGTTGAAAACAAACCAAACTAAAATTTTTTACTGAGATGAAATGACCGAAGAAGTTGAAACGGTAGATTTGACACCACAAACAAAAAGTTCAGAACCATTGTCAAAACCTGTCAAAGAACTTACAGATGAAGAGAAAAATTCAATAATAGAAGGTGCCAGATCTGGAAATACAAACCCTAACTACAAAGTCACTTTTCATAAAAATGGAACGGCTAGTATCTCAAAAAAGAAACAGACTCTCACAAATAAAATATTGAAGTCTGAAGGAGCTTTCGAGACAACAGATGGGAAGGTATACTTCACTGACCAACAGTTCATTATAGAACATCTCATTGACTTAGAGTCGAAATATTCTAAACTTTACAACAAACACAAAAAGTTGAAAGGAAAACAAAGACAGATGGCATATGATATTTATGAAGATGTTGACGACACAACCATACCTGCAAGTGAAGTAAAGTCAGAGGAACCAAAAAGTGACGAAAAACCAATAGAAGAAGGTGAGCCAAAAAATGAAGATAAACCAAAACCAAAGTTTAGTTTGGAAACTACTAAAACAAGTCAACCTTCATTAGCTGGTATGGGTTGGCGTCAAAGACTTATGATAGCAGGTGGTTATGTAAAGTAAAGAAAACAGTATATTTTTATTTTTATTTGAAATGTACGCTGAGTTTGTTGGAAAAGACCGTTGGGAAAACATAGATGAAGAAGTTCATGACAAAACATATACGATGAAGTTCATGAGAAATTAGACGATGAAGTTCATGAGAAATTAGATGAAGAAGTTTTGACAAAACATAGACAAGAAAGTTCATGAGAAATTAGATGAGAAATATGAAATGGCATACCATTTTAAAACATTTATTTTAAAAAAAATATTTTTTTATTTTATTTGAAATGTACGCTGAGTTTGTTGGAACAGACCGTTGGGAAACTTGTTTGTTAGATGAGAAATATGAAATTCA